ATAATAATAATAATAATAATAATAATAATAATAATAATAATAATAATAATAATAATAATCATTTATTGCATATTGGACCCAGATGAAAGATATATGTAGTGCCTACAATAAAGGGCTCAAGTACACTATGGGAGGAGAAGGGCCTTCATTCGAAGACTACATTCAGATGACCGTTATCACAAGTGTCATCTACGTGGCTTGTGCTGCTACGTTCGCGGGCTTGAAGTCTGTATGTGAAGAAACTATAGATTGGTTTAAGAGTGAGCCCAAAATTATTAGGCCTTTGGCAGAGGTATGCCGGTACTTGGACGACATAGGAAGCTATGAAGTAAGCAATATTAATTTTATTTTTTTTTCCCACAAAATAAGTGGCTATATATATCAGGTAGATGCGAATAGAATATTAACTAACTAATTAATATTTCTTACTTTTATCAAGCGCGAGAGTCAGGAGGGAGCACTCCTGATAGGGTTGGATTTCTACGTGAAAGATCATGGCGGTTCGATGGAAGAAGCCAAGGATAAGTTTGTGGAGCTAGCCGAGGATGCTTGGAAACATTTTAATGGTGAATGGATAACAAATGTGAGAGTTAGTGGGGTGCCAAAGGATGTGGCAGAGGAGCTTATTGGTTACGCACGAGCAGCCGAAATCTTCTACAGGAATGGCAGGGATGGGTACGCCAAATGCCACGCTATGGCACCAGAAATCAAAGGCATCTTGGTGGACCCCGTTATTGTTTGACCATAAACTCCTGCATCTCTATCTCTTCTTGTGTTGCATGTCATCTATAATCAGTAATCTAGTATTCCAGTAAAATTAAATATTGTTGTGTTGTGATAGAAATGGATAGATATCTGCCATTGTAATGAGGATGAACAAGAAACAAAGAATAAAAGATAATTGTATTTTCTGTGAATGATGGTGACTACACAAGCTGCTACAAATATATATATCTCTAAGCTACCTCAGAACCCTAATGAGCATCCACTAAGAAGAGGACACGTGCATGCAGAACATGCACACTAAAAGCCAAGAAAACGGCTGGCAATGCAGGAGCTACAGTACGGAAAATAACAGAAAAGATCATATTTCTATAAGTATAATTAGCAATTCATTTAACTACTCTAATATCCCCCCTCAATTCGAACTGAGATGCAGAAAAAACTTGAAGTTGGTGCTGCAGCTTTGTGAAGAATTGCTGAGATAACGGCTTGGTAAATATATCAGCTACTTGATGAATGGAGGGAACATGTTGAACTTTGAAAAGCTTGTTGGCAATTTGCTGCCTAATAAAATGCTGATCGATTTCGATGTGTTTGGTGCGAGCGTGGAGAACTGGATTATTGGCCAAAGATATAGTGCTAATGTTGTCAACCCAAATAGTGGGGATACATGAGGGTTTCACATGAAGTTCTGAAAGAAGAGCCTGTAACCAGGTTACTTCAGCGGCTGCATGGGCTAAGCTACGATACTCAGCTTCAGTGCTTGACCGAGAGATAGAGGCTTGTTTTTTTGAGCACCATGCAACTGGATTCCTGCCAAGATAAATACAGACACCAGTGACAGACTTTCTGTCATCAAGGTCACCACCCCAATCAGAATCAGAAAAACCAGTAATGGTTGTGCTGGAAACTTTTATATAATGCAGGCCATGATGTAGAGTACCAGCAAGGTATCTCAAGATTCTTTTAACAGCCTTGAGATGAGTATCCAGAGGGCATTGCATATATTGAGAAACTTTGTTCACACTATAAGCTATCTCAGGCCGAGTAATAGTGGCATATTGCAAAGAGCCAACAATGCTTCTATAGGCAGAGATATCTTCAATTGGTGAACCACTAGATTTGGACAGTATAGGAAAGGTGACCATAGGAATAGAAACTGATTTTGCTTCAAGCATGTTCATCTTTTGGAGCAAATCCTTAATGTACTGAGTTTGAGTGAGAGCAATTCCTTGAGAGGACCTGTGAACTTCAATTCCTAAAAAGTGATGAACCTCTCCCAAATCTTTGAGGGAAAAATGACTGCTGAGAGAATCAATTGTATGTTGAACCTCATTTTCATTAGGGCCAGTGACAAAAATATCATCAATATAAACCAGTAACCAGACAGTGGAAGTGGAGCCATGCCTGAAGTAGAGAGAGTGGTCTGAGGTTGAGTGTTTAAAACCAAGAGTATGCAAAACACTCTGAAGTTTTAAGAACCAGGCCCTAGGTGCTTGTTTGAGGCCATACAAAGATTTATGAAGTTTACACACTAAGGAGCTGTTATGAGAGTCCTCAAAACCTGGAGGTTGAGCCATATAGAGTTCCTCCTCAATAGAACCATGAAGAAAGGCATTATTGATGTCCAATTGCCTTACTTTCCAGCTGTAGTTGAGAGCAAGAGACAAGACAACTCTAATAGTTGTAGGCTTGACCACTGGACTGAAAGTGTCATGAAAATCCATTCCTGCTGTTTGATTATACCCTCTAGCAACAAGTCTTGCTTTGTATCTAGCTCTAGATCCATCTGAGTTGTGCTTGATTCTAAATACCCACTTGCAGCCAATAAGAGGCTTGTGGTCTGGTAATGGAACAAGAGACCAAGTTTGGTTAGCCATGAGAGCATTAAACTCAGATGTCATTGCTGCTTTCCATTTGGAGTGTGCTAAGGCTTGCTTAAAATCCTTTGGAGCATGATTATTAAGGTCTTCAGCAAGAAAAGCTTTTGGTTTGAGATTACCTGTCCTTGATCTGGTAACCATGGGATGGATATTGCTAGGATTACCTGCAGTGTTAGTAGAAACAGCAGTAGGAATAGACTCATTCACAATAGGCAGCTCAACTACTAATGGAATAGTTGAATGTGAAGATTGTGTGGTATTGTTGTTTTGAGGTGAAGAGGATTGAGATATAGAGGGGGAAATATTGGGCTGTGGTGAGGATGTGGAAGATGAGGATGGTGGGGAAGGAGGAGGAGAGTTGTTGAGGTTAGTATTTGAAGGAGTGAGGCCAGGAGCAGGAGTAAGAATGGGAGAAGGGTGAAAAGGAATCTCAAAGGAATTAGCAGGTTCAGAAGGGGGTTTTGATTTAGCAAAGGGAAAAGCATGTTCATCAAACACAATATCTCTGGTAATGATCACTTTTCCAGATGGAAGAAGAGCCTTAAATCCTTTGTGCTTGGAGCTGTAGCCCAAAAAGGTACTGGGTAAAGATCTAGGTTGTAGTTTGTGTTTGGTGTAAGGTCTGAGGTTAGGAAAGCACAAACAACCAAAGATTTTGAGATGAGAATAGTCAGGTTGATGACCATAAAGTTTCTGAAGAGGTGAGGTAAAACCTAAGCTTTTAACTGGAAGTCTATTTAAAATGTGCACAGCTGTGCTAAAGGCATCATCCCAAAAGGTAAGAGGAACATGAGAGTGAGTGAGAAGAGAGAGACCCATTTCAACTATAGTCCTGTGCCTTCTCTCAGCAAGTCCATTTTGAGCTGGAGTGTATGGACAGGAGACCTTATGAACAATACCAGAATCATGAAAAAGTTTTGTGAGAGGTCTATATTCACCACCCCAGTCACTTTGGACTGCTTTGATTTTGTGGTTGAGCTGGTTTTCAACAAGAGATTTGAAGTGAAGAAAGACATTATAAACTTCAGATTTCTGCTTAAGAAAATATATCCAAGTAAAACGAGTGTAATGATCAATAAAACACACATAGTAGTAAGAGCCTGATTTTGACACAATGGGAGAAGGCCCCCAGAGGTCTGTGTGGATTAATTCAAGAGGCTTGGTATATTTAGTTGTAGAATCAGCATAAGGCAAAGAATGACTTTTAGCTTGAAGACAAGATGACAAACAAACTTTTCATTGCTAGCAAAAGGAACTTTACAAAGTTTCAGAACCTTTGCAACTACATCAAAAGCAGCATGACCTAATCTAGAATGCCACAAGTCTAGATTGGTAGTTTTATTACATAAAGCCATAAAAGAGGTTGGAGTGAACTGGGATGATGTAGGTCTGGTGGAAGAGTTGTCATCAGGCTTGGAGGTTTGTGCTTCAAACATGTAGAGACCATCTTTAAGGCATCCTCTGAGAAGAACTTGGTGGGTAGTGAGATCCTTCACAAGGCAAAACTGAGGGTGAAACTCAAAAAATACCATGTTGTCTTTAGCAAATTGAGAAACACTGATTAAATTCTTTTTAATGGTAGGAACATGAAGGAGATTTTTGAGCAATAAAGGTTTGGTGCAAGTATTTGTGTTGAGAGATGAGCTGCCTATATGAGAAATGAGCAAACCTGTGCCATTGCCAACTTGGAGTTTGTTAGTGCCATGAAACTCTGAAGCAAGATTCAGATTTGAGAGATCATTGGTCACATGAGTAGATGCCCCAGAGACTGCAAACCAACTACATTCTGAGGATACATCACTCCCAGCTTGAAATTGAGAGGCGTTGTTGGAGAAAGGTTGAGTGGTGACTGTGTTAGCCTGCATATTTGTTGGTCCTGGATAAGAAGCATCAAACCTGTGATAGCACTTGTCAGCTGTGTGGTTAGAGAGACCACAAACTTGACATGGAACTCTAGAGTTGTTTCTAAAACCTCTACCACCTCTTCCTCTTGAGTTGTTGTTTCTGCCTCTACCTCTGGACATGAAATGATTTCCTCTGGAAAAGGACTGGTTGTTGTTGTTTTTGTTCTGATTGTTGGAGGTGGTTTGACTGACCAAATGAGCAGTGGGATTGGTTCCATCCATATTGATCAAGGGTTGACTGATTTGGTTTGAAAGTTCAAGTCTTGATTCAAGACTCAACAGCATGGCATATAGCTCATTCAAGGAGTATGGTTCAACCCTTGTTGTGACTGCTACAACAGCAGCATTGTATTCTGCTCCCAGACCTCCTAGGATATGCAAGATGTGGTTTTGCTCAGAGACAGGTTCTCCAGCTGTTCCTAAGGCATCACAGCAAGACTTGACTTGGCCTAGAAATTCTCTCATAGAGAGGCTGCCTTTTTTCAAGGTTTGGAGTTGAAGCTTGTGGTGCATAAGCCTGGCTTTAGATTGCCCTGAGAAGTTGGCCTCTAAGGATTGCCAGATTTCTTGAGAGGTGTTTTTCCCAACCATCATTACCAGTAGATTCTCTGACAGAGAAGAGAGTAACCAAGAAGCAAGGAGTTGATCTTGTCTTACCCATGAGATGTATTCTGGATTCACTTGGATCTGTGATGTGTCGTCTGAGATGGTTGTTTGAGGTGGTTGTGAGCTCTCCTTAGAGATGAAATTCTCCAGCCCATATCCTTTGATGGCAGTATGGACTTGTTGTTTCCACAGCAGATAATTGTTGTCTGTTAACTTGATGGAGACTAATTGATGGTGAGGTTGAATCAGGCTGTTTTGGGTGTTGTTTCCAGAGATCAGGATGTTTGTGTGGCTAGATGAAGAAGCAGCCATTTTAATGAGTCAATGAAGGAGACAGATCTCAATAAATGGGTAGCAGATCCAATAAATGAGGTAGCATGTGCAATAAATGAAGAAAACAGGTTTGATAAGAAATATAAAATGACAATAGCTGAAAAAGGTAACTCAGGCTCAGGTTATGAACCCGAGCTCTGATACCATGATAGAAATGGATAGATATCTGCCATTGTAATGAGGATGAACAAGAAACAAAGCATAAAAGATAATTGTATTTTCTGTGAATGATGGTGACTACACAAGCTGCTACAAATATATATATCTCTAAGCTACCTCAGAACCCTAATGAG